AGAGGGTAGCTGGAAAGATCGTGAAACTGAAATATCTAATTTCAAACTTGAGATCCCTCGAAATTAATAGTCCCTTTCTCCGAAGATGGTCCGCGCGACCAGCTTCCTCTGCCGAGCTGTTTGTGTCGTCGAGCGTACGCGGAAGCTAAACACTCGAAATATTTAATACGAAACGGTTAGTTCTCATTTTTCCATAAACGAGCTCAAATATTTCCTCCGTACATCGTACGGATCGTACACCACTTTCGTCGAACACGCATAACTGAGACAGATAAAGACCACGAATACATTTACATATCGAAGCGCCGAATATTAGAATACCGTTCCGTTGGAAATTCATCCTAATCAGATCCTTCTCGTTTGTAATTAACTTTCTCATCTTCCTTCCTTTTAACGTACGTTCCATATTTTAATGGAGTATAAAATAAAATTATAAATTCGTACGAGAAATATTTAATAAATTCGTGTGCGCTTTGTTTCCGATAAAATTGAAAACAAAAAATTTACGCGGTGAAATATCCTTAGTTATTAGTCATACTGCGTATCTTTATGCAATTTTTATGTATGTTTGTATGCATAATTGAAAATGCTCTTATAAAATTAAAAGTTAAATAAAAATTTGCTTCATGCACTGAATATTGATTATAAGTAATGCGGTTTTTCCAAAAGGATTACCGAACTGTGTATTTTATTCTCGAATTTTAGCGAAATTTGAAAAAGTTACACATTTGTTACAGAGATTAATTCGGTAAAAAATTAGAAGTGTAGAGCAAATAATCATCTCGAATAATAATCTCAATTAGGGTTAAAATAGAAATTGTTGCCATGGAATTTTAGTTAAATCGGAATAAAGGATTGAATATCAAAAAGTTTAAAGTTATAAATATATATATAGGAAAATGTGTTACTGGTCATTTTCTAACAGACAATTTTCCATATTTATGGGATGAGTTAATACTAGAAAAATTATTCTACTTTAGATATTTCACATGTCTTTAATCCCATATACTTATACAAAACCATAGTTGCCATAGTCGTCAATGATGATTAATTCGAACGTTACGATGATTATTTCGAGTGTTACATCGTAACAGGATTAATCATGCGAAAAGAAACTAAAAGATAATCACGTTTAAATTTAATGTCGTGGACTGAAAGAAACTCGATAAAATCTCATTGTAATGTGCACGCGCGTCTGCAATCTTCATACTAATCGTAAACGTCGTAAGAAGTTAACTATTGTCGTAAAGCGAGAAACGAATTGTTTCACCAGTTTTGATGTACAATTTAGCGTGAACTGCGGCCACAATCTTGATTTCTGTACGCCGTTCTTGAGCATACTCAGCGTTCCTGGTCCTCCACGAAGCGCATAAGAACGATAACCTTGAAACGATGCCGCTAATCTTCCAATTAGCCTATCTTCAAACAAGTTGCCCTCTATCCCCTCAAATTAGAATCGTCTTACTGAGCGAGAGTGATATCGAATTGGAGCCAGCTGTAATTAAGGCTGCCCATTTAACAAGAACGAGAGATCATTCGAAATATCTCGTATTTTGAATTGACGTTCGTGTGAAAACACCTCACAACATGGCTGATGCTGATGAAATTTTAACGAAAGTATTAATAAATGATAGATTGGCGTAAAATTTAAATAATAACTTTTGTTACTTTCATCTTTGCAATTTTTAATTTCTGCCGGGGTTTTTTTTTGGTTTTGAAAATTTTTCCATAAAAATCTTGTATAAACCTTGTACAAATCTTGCGTAATCTAACTTCGTGAAGTGTATCGTGAAGAATTTTGATGAAACGGTTGAGGCATAGTGAATGATAAATTCTTATATATATTATTCCTCTGTCAGTTATGAATTTCTGTTTGAAAAATTTTGCAAAGTTTTTCTGTCAAATCCTTGAAATATCCTGTAAAAACAGATATTTCCTATTTATATCTAAAAATTTTTATTCAGTATTCAATTTCATTCTTAATTTGATATTTCATTACAATGTTATTATTTTATTAAAAGTAGTTCTACATAAGTGCAAAATTCTTTGCTGAAAGGTTATAAAATTTCTGAATCTATTCTAAGGGTAAATCAAAATTTTATGAAATCGCAGAAAACCAATTTTCTTTCAATGGAAGACATATATTGAAATGATAGACTGTAGATACAAATACGTTTATAAATTTCTTGATAGTGAATGCAGTGTACTGCGTTCTAAAAGCGAGTGAATTTTTTGAAAATAAATAATAATTCTTGGAATCGTGGGTACTTCAGAATGAGTAGCTTCAATGAGTGCACGTGTGTGAAGTAGATTCTTAAGGGCATTCAGTGCTTTGTGAAAACCAAGCACGTGTGAATGCAGCAACGTCAGATCATTTCTACGTTGAAAGAAAGTAATATTTAATATTATTGTCTTTACGAAGACATCCAAACTTTGATGAATGAAAACATTTTTCGTATTTACAGGATTTTCTTTCATGCAGAAATTTGATAATTAAGTAGAATAAAGCAGGATTATATTTGGCAACAATAATGACTGAATACATCACCAAAATAGATTACTGTCACTAATACGATGAAGAATATAATAATTTGAAGAATACATAAAATAATAATAATAAAAAAAAACAGAATTTAATAGATAGAAGAATATACTATTTAAGAAAAAGAGAAGAATATATATTTAATTTTATCGGCCACTACAGTATTTTCTTCAAAAATTTGCATCACGATGATTCGCCGAAATTACACAAAGCGATAAAAACAACATACATGAATTAAAAATTTCACGCAGAAAGGACGAGATTTTCGTGAATTTATTATTTAAATGGCACGCAATGTTTCTCGTCCTATTCGTATTCGTGGCATTCTGAAAGCTATATCTATTACGATCCTTAGAAATTATTCAAGACGATAAAAACGGCCACAGGTAGTTGGATTTATATCTGCATAGTTTACGTTTCAATATTTAAGATAGCCACCATTTCTCCATGCTAAAAAAATTATTGTATTCACCGGGCGCTTCCCAAACGCTTTATTTATCTCGCGTATCATTATTCAGAAAATCCACTTTTCGAGCTCCGTGTCTGAAACACCAGTCGCGTCTCTCTGTTAACAATTAATATTCCACGATTGCTCTGTTCATTAATTACTTCGAAAGACCACTTTGGTTTCTGTGATTGTTGTTAAACGTATTAACGCGACGAAGCTCGTTTAGAATATAGCGAATTATTATAATAAATAAATAAAGTTAATTGCATTTATTTGTTGTTAGACGCTCGCTCTTGCAGTAAGACGTTAGACGCTCTTGCAGTAAGTAATATAAACGAATATAAATTTTCATATTTAGACTGCGTTACTAATTAATTGAATAATGCAATAATTACACTGCGAATTTTCACGCGTTTACGAGTAAAAAAAATTAAAAGATACATAAATGGATAATACGCGTTTAGCGTGCAAGAATATATAAAATATCCAAGGTGGAAGACTTTTATTTCTTACTTCAGCCCAAATGGAATTCTAAGTAGAAAGTTACGAAGTAGTAAAAGTAGAGTCATTAGAGTCGTAATTTTCAAAGGTAGAAGAACGTTTATTCAAGCTTTATTTAAGTTCCACTTTTTCAGCTGCATTTATAAAAATACGAATTTGCATAAAAATCAACGGTCCGTTTACAATTAGCATCACTTGAAAATTTTTTCACTCTGCGATTTCTCCGCCGTTATATGAAAATTGAGATAAATGAAGATTCCTGAAATCTCGTGTAACAAATATACACGTGTGTGAGTACGTGTGTCGTTGGAAAAATTTGAGACGCCGCGCCGCGATAATTAATTCCCCACTCGTCACGAATTTAACAAGGATCAGTGATAATCGACGATCACGTAGCTACGACGAGTGCATTGGGATTTACGCGGCAATTTTTCACGATACTTTCGCGTATTCCTTTTTTGCGGATGAAAATCCGCGTATCACAAATTCCGCATTATAATGGTGCCGTGTAATTTGCGTGTATCGTTTTATCGCTTGATGGAAATTTAATAACGCCGGTTACGTTCATCCGAAGCAATTAATTACTATCGAACGTGCTAATCCGCATTATCCTTGAGCGAACGTAATTCCTTTTCCTCGTGCAGGGGAGGGTATCGACATTTAACTGGCGAATTAAAACAAAGCAAATTTATTAAATAAAAACAATTCTCACAGTGTTTGCAAGAATGAGATGAGAACTGGAAATGAAAAGAATTTAAATTGAGAGACTGTAGAAAATTGGAATTTGTTATATATTTTCCAGACGTTTTATTATTCATTCGAACTTTTTTCTTTCTCTTATTCCGATACATCTTATTAATCGTGTGATTCTTATATATTTTTAAGAATTTACACTTTCCTGCGTTGCTCATCAGACATCCTTACGATTGTTTCTTTTATTACAATTGAATCCTTCAAGCTAGATAATTCAACTAAATTATAACATACATGAGTATATATTACGTGTATTTAATCCTCTTCTTTATGAATAAACTAGATAACTAAATTCATATTACGCGTAAGAAAAAGAACATTTCTCAAACACTTTCAAATCACATCTATCAACAGAAATATCAATTAATAAAGTTTATTTAATATCAACAATATTAAACATCGTCTTTCCCGAGTTGCCAGTTATTCGCACGAAATCGCTTAGCCCTAGGACTCAAACCAATTGCAACTCTAACCCCAAAGCTACCCTCGATCCATTCTTTCGCCCCCTGAAGAGCTACCCTCTAACCGAGGATAATCTGCGTTTCAGGGTCTCGAGCAGAGAATGAGGGGTCGGGAAAAGGCGAGGAATGCCCAGTCGGACGCGAGAGCTGAGCTGGCCGGTTGCTGCTGAATGGAAGCAGGGATCGCGCGAAACAAGGCTTGGAGGGAACACAAGTGCAAGGAGGATAGACGAGCGAAAACAGCACTGGCGAGAAGCAACCATAACGAGAAGCGTTGCGGAAACCCGGCGGAAAAATGAGGTGGCTTCTGTTCGTGTTCGTGTCACTACTCTCGGTGGTTGCTAGCTTGCAGAACGGCGGCGTGACGAGGGGTGGCAGCGGCATACAGATCGGCACCAGCGACCGCGGCTCGCACGCGAAAGGCACCGGATTGCTCAGTGGACGAGGCCACTCGGGCGTGAGACTCGGCGAGGCGAGATTTCCGAATTCCACGAGGCAGAGACCGTTCACCACGACGACCACCACACCGTCGCCGTCGCCACCGCCGCCGTCCTCCAAGTTCACCCTCGCGCCGCAGTCCGGCGACAACAAGAACAGCTACAACACCACCTCTTACTTGAGGGTAAGTGCGAATCTCACGGAATTTTCATCGATCGATCCTTATCGCAGTTGGAATCTAGTTACCTGGAGGATTTTAATCCTCCTACGGCTACGCTCGTAAATTTTGTCACGCGAATGGGATTAGCGGATTTAGGCGAATTGAGACGAAATTTCGCGGTGTCTGTGAATTAATCAAAACAACGAGATCTGACGAACTTGCTTTTTCAAAGGCGTTAGAAAAGCCTTCTATTTCAGTGGAAATTTATTCAAGTTTAGGTTGATTATACTGGGGAAATAAATTTTTGCTTCGCTCGCGTTATTTTACCGGTGTGTAATTGTGAGTTTCATGTTTGACGGAAGAAAAATTTTTTTTCTCATAGAAACCGTAGTTTCTCTCTGTTGTGAACGTGAAATAATTCGAGAGTTGAAATATAGCCTTCGAATGTAATGGTAAACGTGATTAGAGGAGGAATTAATTACGAGTATATAGAAAGATTTTGAGTCGTGGTGACCTCGAGAAAAGTATTTTCTCAAGGAGATCTTCGTCGTCCATGGGAAACATGGTTTCTCACTCAAGCTTGATGTATGAAGACAACGTGGTAAATCTACAGAACAAATAAACTCGGGATTGGCTATTTTTTTCTGAAAGAAATCTACTATACCGAACGTTCGTATTTTTTAAACCTGAATGAAATCTTTCTACTTAAAATAAATCAAATAGATAAATGAAGTATATAAACTAAAGCCGCTATGATCTTTGAACTTTTATACAACAATGCTGCTCCCATTTTAGTAATCAGGAACGAAGTTCCGAAATTAAACTAAAAATCTCGACATGAAGTTAAACCAAATCTTTCTTCAAGCGGAAAACATTTATTGTC